TCATGGAAAGACAGCTCAAGTAAAGGTGGCAAAATCCTGCTGAGGCTAGTCCATACTTCTTCCTGTATTTAATTGCACTTGAAAAACATATTTAAAACATTGCCCATGCTGAAGCAGTATCTGCTTGTGGCTGGCTTGTCTAAACAGGACTGAAAACATTGAAACAACTTCTAAAAAGCTATCAAGCAAAGCCTGACAGGTTCAGATTTTCTTTAAAAAATAGTTTAGATAATTGAGACTCAGCTAACTGGCTAGCTTTCTATGTTTGCTTTCAGACAGGAATCAATACACACATGTTTTTAAATGATACCAGAAGGCTAACATGGAAAAGTCTGCTTGTTTTAGTTCTGGCTGTAACGTGCCCTTTTCACGTGGTCTCCGGGAGAATTTTGTGCCTTGCAGACAACCCCAAACAAACTCAGCAACTTTGAGGTGGTTGTTTACTCTGCCTGCATTAGCCTCAGCGAGGTAGAAGTCCGCTTCCTCAGCTGCTGGCTCTTCTGCCTCCTGTAGTCCTTCTCCTAACCTTTCCTCATGTGACAAAGGTTGTGTGCTGATGGCTCTTCAGGCAGAGTGAAAATGAACACAAAAGACAAAGTTGCCTGAAGCAACTGATAGTTGGAGTAGAATAAGTGGAATTTCTTCATGTTTTCTCTGGCTTTTTCTCTTCCACTCACAAGGTCAATTCACAATGTCCTGAGGTTCTTTAATGCCTCAACTTCTTCTTAAAAACAAAAAAAGGGTAAAAATAACATTTTTTCTTTCCCCCTTTCCTCCCAGTCTTTATCAGCACCACCACTGACTCTGTAAAATTCTGTTTCATTAAGCATCAGCCTTGTCTTATCACTATCCTTTGAAAGAAGCAGAGGGCAGCAGACGGCCCTAGATGCCATGTTAACGCGCATTGTATGTTTTCAGCTAAATCTTGATTGACAGTAATCAAGACGAAACAAAAAGGAGATAATAACATACCTCATTGTAATGATACCACTGTTAAATGTATTGCATTCTCCTATGAACTACGAAAGCACTAACACATTCATTAATTAAGTGTTGTGAGTGAGTGAGGGATCAGTCCTGAAAACAATTTGGGACCGGTGTCTAGAAAATCTCTATTCAGTCCCACTCTGGCGAGAGAGCAAACGTGTCACCACAGGGTTGCCTAAAGTTTGAAGATGAGAAGATGAATGCCAGTACTCAAATTGTGTGCGGGGAGGGAGGTTTTTTTTTTTTTAAGGTTAAATGAGAATGAAATTACCTTATTTAAAAAATGCCCAGCACCATTGGCTTCATGTAAAAGCAATAGAAAGACTGCAAGAGTTCATCCCCTCTACGGCTGAGCCACCAAAGGATGCCACACTAATTCTGCATCCTAAGTTCACTAGAGCCTTGGAAGAGAAAGCAGTGGAATGACAATATCAAGGTCTGGTGAGGTGGATGTCTTGGCAGAGATGCCACTGTTTTCCTCAAGCAGAGGAACTCAGGAGCATGCTGGTTACTTCTTCTCACATCCGATAGCAAAAGCTATTTTCAGAGAAACCCAGCTGCTCTTTTTCTGATAAGACTGTGGAAAATGGGTCTGTAGGTTGCTCTTGGTGAATGCTAAATAGGTGAGATGCATCATAAGAGCATGGTTTTGCCCTCAAGTCCCTGGACAACCTTCTCCTCACCTCTGGTTGTGTACTTGGCAGAGCCTGCGTAATTCACCTTCCTGTTGCTTTCCTCTGTGTTTTGGTTGTTCTTCCCACTGCTTCTGAGAACAGCCAGGATTACCTCACCTTATTCGCACAGCTTTCTGAAGTCACTTGCCTAAGCGTTTTTCTCGCTAAATTGCCCAGAATACCACAAAACAGGAGCTTCTTATAAACAGAGGTAGCAAGCAGAAATTCAGCAGAGGCATCTTTTTCCATTTTCCTGTTTTACAAATACAAGAAAATACTCAGTCTGAGGTGAATAATAGCAAAGTGCACAGAGCCTTATCCTGCATCCTTACGTAGGCTGAACTCAAAGAGCGGCAAGCAGAGTTTTGCTTAGGTAGGCTATGCAGAGTAAACCGCGAGACTGACGCTTGCCCCGCTTACGCTCCCTCTAGTCAGATCATGAGCACCTTCTAGGTTTTTTCACTCTGTTTTCCTTAGAATATGAGGAAAGCCAGGCAAACCATGCCTGTTACACATCGTGCTTGGCAGCTGGCACCTACAGCAGTCAGCTCTTGTACAACTCCCAGCTGTCCATGGCACAGGCTCTCTCTTGTCCAGTGGGAATGCAGAGGGATACAGAGAGAAAGGGATTGTGAGGCTGTAGGGATGAACAGGAGACAAAAGAGAAACAACAAGATAACAAGGGTTCATCAGTTCTACTCCATCACCTTTTATTACACAGAATCATTCTTTTCTTACACCCATGTTGTCCAGCTGGAGTGTCTCATGTACCTGCACAAGATCCTATAGCTACCTCTGTATTACTGCTGCAGACATAAAGGGTTCCTAAAAGGATATTGTAGCTATGAAGAGCTGGATGGAGCATGGTCCTACCTGAACTTCTTTTGAAAAATAGCTGGAGTGCTTCAGTGCAAAAGATCAGTGCGGTAATAGCAGCTAGGAGGAGTGGGCCTTTGTGCTGCAAATTGGCAGTCTGCAGACTAAGGAGTAGGAGGAAGCAGCAGCAGTTTTTCTTTTCTGTTTGACTGTTTTTGTTTGCCGTGAAGTCTTCCGGGGAAAGCAAAAGCCTGTAATCACTTTGAACACTGAACAATCTGTGGGTGCCAAGTATAATGTGACAATCTACTTCTCATCAGTAGCAGAAACTGATAATAAATATCAATTTTTTATAACAAAAACTCTTAGAAAAGCATTTAGGCTGAAAGGATCAGCACTGAAACATGCCATACTATCAGGCATTTTGCATGAGGAATGCATTATTTAATAGGAATTTTAAAAATAGAACACTTTCCAATTTCTATAGTTTCTACTTCTAAAACTCTTGACAGAAACCTCTAACCTTCCTATTCTGAAGACAGTGAAACACCATGCCTTGTAATATTATCCATGGAAATTATTTCATATACTTCCGTGAACTCACTCACATGACTGAATTGTACACACATACTTAAACATTTGTAAGGTCAAGCCCTAAATGCCCGAGCTATCTGCTTCAGTGGGATGATGGAATTAATTCTTTTTGCTCAGGGAACAGGTGATAACAGAGTCTTTTATCTACTTGCAATGCAGTGTCTTAATGCATTCTTTTCAGTGCTGTAGCACTAAATTTCATGAAGACTTAAAATAAAAAATTATCAGAGTCAGGTTATGGACAAACATGTGCAGTCCAGCTGAAGAGAATGTATTTTGGACAGTATGCAGCATACTATTTGCCAGAGGAAAAATGAAATGCAATCTGACATTTCTGTTGTGGGAATAACTAACTTGAGAAATTCACAACTTTCTAAGACTTATGTAAGCAAACTCTGTGTTAGGAAGGTCCTGTGGAACTGGGGAGAAGAAATCTCCTCCCTGTCCCAAAGCTGCTGTTAACCCCATGCAGCCTTTTTGCAACTGTTTTACTCTTTGCAGTGCAGAATATAAGGATCACTAGTGTGTACTACACTGATGTAGGTGTTACTGCAATATTTCATAGTTAAATACATCTGGGGTACAAAGAGCCCAAACTGAGAGTTTTGGCTAAGATAACTCGATGTCCGTGGTGTTGCTGTTCACGCATAGCATGTTCTCCTGATGCAGGGATGCTCTCCCTTCTCTGTCAAACCCTCTTGGCTTTTTTTCCCCAGAGGTATTTAGGCTCACACGTAGGGAAGAGAAAGACACTGAATGTATTTAGCTGAGGGTTTTCTTTAGGCAGAGCTGACAAAGTAATGCCAGTTACAGCTGAAATTAGTGGTCACCTGCCTGACTTATATGTGGAAATAGGTAGGGCGAAGGCAGAAGATCAGATCTCTTTTTAAATGTAGACTTTGTTACACACTTTTCTTTCACTTGTCCTTGAGGCCTGCTTCATGCACTACCTTCTTCTACGACCACTGTAGAATTTTCTTTTTTCACTTGAAAAACTTTATTTCTCTTGAGTTTTTTTCAAGCTGGAGTAAACATCTTTTCTTTTTAATTAAATAAGCTATCCCTAGTGTTGTAAATATCCCTGCCAGCCCTAGCTACTCTGCTTTTGAAGCTATTTCTCCCTGCTAAAAAAAAAAATCCTAGCTCTCTACAGGGAGAGGGTAACTGAAAGGACAGCATGAAGCAGAAAATTCAGTGGAAGACAGTCTTCTCTATAGGAGGTTCATCAGTATGGAGCTTGAGCTGAGTGAGAAAAATCCACACCTATTAATATGGATCAATGTAGCACCTAGTGTGCTGGACAAAGAAAGGCATATGCTTTCCCTTTGAAAGATGAGATGAATTCCAAACTCTTTTTGCTGCTGCAGAAATAGCCTGTGCCTAGATACGTTCCTGTTCAGCCAAGTGTTTGTGGAGATGTTTAAATGTGTTGAGCTTGCTTGGTGACTTCAAACACTTGTTTCCACACATGACATATTTGGCTAGCAGCTATAGCAATTAAACAAGTTTTGCCGGTAATTTGGGTTGACATGGCCTTTTTCCCATTAAATAGGTCACAACGTTATTTTTTGATTTGTGCTCTTGCTTACCAGACTCTCAGACTGGTTGACAGGTAGCCTACAGGCAGGCTGTTGCAAAGGAGCAGCAGATGGCTGTTGGTCCCCTGATGAGGGATATGTCCCTCCTGCTGAGGCACAGAGCTGATGCTGCAATGCCACCAGGCTTTTCCTGGAGCCCCTATGCAGAAAGCCCCGGCTGGTGAGGGCAGGGATGTGGTGGGGTCAGGGCACGCCACGCTCTCTACTTCCCAGCCCGGGCAATGCAGTGTCCACAAGCAGAGACTTAAAAGGAGCCAGTTGCGAAAAACCAACCATGTGAAATCACCTCATCTGTTGATCTTATTCAAGGGTCAGATGGGAGATCCCTTACCTTGTTCATAGGTGAACCAAACAGATTATGCCTCAGAGGGTGAACGGCAGCAAAATGAGACGTCTCTGCTGCCTCCCAAAGGCAAGCGTGCTGACAGGAGTCCGGGAAGGGCTGTAAAACAGCCAAACAAAGAAGGAATGGTGCAATGGTCATTTTGAAATAAACCTGTTTTTGAGTGGCAGTGACTACGGAGATACTTATGTTATGATTCATACCAAAGTGCAGCACCTGCAGTTTCAGTCTGGATGACTTCAGAAGAGAAGCAACAGCAGCAAATACAGTTCTAACATTTGAAAACAAGAAAGCAAGAACTATTAAGTTACAGCAGGGTGGCCTCTCTTACACAGAGGTGCCTGGAACATCTCCCCACGAAAAGGTGCAGCTCACTTAAAACTGACTCACTCCTAGCTGGGGTTCACACAGTTGCATCTCTCTCAGTATTCACTTGCAGCCGCTCTCCTCTCTTTAATGTGACAATTGCAATTACAAGGAACTTTTACATGTCGTGCATCACACCACCTGGGAGCTCTCTGAAGGTGCCCTCAGAAAGTCCCTTGCACCATCTCCTGCTTATCCTTGAAGACAAACCTGAACTTTCTTATCTGCACCTCTGCTAGACTGCCTGGGATAGTGTCTGTCTCTATGTCTATAGGCACCAAGCATCCTCTAGGCAACATCCATACAGCAATCCTTACAGAGAGACATGTCTGCTATTTTCTCAGTTTTACTGATAAGAAAACTGCCGCAGCCAGGATGAGGTCAGGAGTGGTTGCCTCTTTGTACATCTCGTGGTTGATGCCATTAGGAGACAACTGGGGCAGCTGCTTTGAGAAACTCATCAAATTCCAGCAGATGTCTGTGGGAACTGTAAGAGCCACCAGTGGAAAAAGAGCTCCTTTAAGGGTATCAGGCTGTCTATTTACCGTCTCTTTTAGCCGGGTTGAAGATAGAAGCAGGAAAGAAAGTGTCCACAGATTATTTCCTCCAAGAAGATCTTCACTTCCAACAAAATCTTTAACATACAGATTTCTGAATCCGGTCTTCAAGGATATTTAGTGCCTCCCCCCACCCCTGGCCTCCACTCACACAAGTGCTTAAAAGAACTGAGGTACTTAGTAAGTGCAGTGAAAAAAAATCTTTACACAGCCTGCTTGGATAACTCCTCTACTTAGCAATACATGTGTTCTTTCACTGTACTCAACCACTGGGGCTAGCACTGAAGAGTTTAAACGAATGTTGGTTTAAGTGCTTAGAAAAAGGGAAAAAAAAGAGAGAGAAAAAGCAGTTTGCTCACATAGAGAAATGCCTTTCTAAAAGCCTGGGTGAATAACCTGCTGAGGGAAACCTCCATTCTGCCTGGCTTGAATTTTTCACTGGAAGGAGTTTGTATTCCTCTTCATTTCCATTTCAGATAAGGAAGATGACTGCTAGATGTATCCCAGATGCTGGCTGGTGCATTTGTTTACCACTGGAAAGGTAAAGGTTGCACATCTGCACTTCTGAAGGAGAGTGCAAAAGCCAGTGCTCTCCACACCTGGAGCAATGTGAGATCCCTTGCAGATCGCATACCCCTGCAGCCCTTTGGCAATGCTTTGTTCTGAGGTAATCACTGGAGAATAGGAAAAGTTAGGTGGCGGGCGGAGAGTGTACTGCATACAGCTTTTCCTCATAACACAGCCCAAGATTTCCTGCTTATCTATCTTGATGGATCCTTACATTTGCTTTATAAATGAGGAGGAAAACAATTCACATGTACAGACTATCAAAGCCCTCCTATGTTACTGTTCCTCCCCACATAAGGTAGAGTAAATAAAAGACAAAATCTAAACATTAATAAAATTAAAAATAGCTTTTCCTACTCTGCATTATTACATATATTGACTGCTTAAGACACCGAGACTCTGGAAGCTGCAAAAAGGGAGCACTGAAAGTGCATATAATCTCCTATCCACATGCAGCGTGACCCCCTACCAAGTACGCAATACAGCTAAAGCCAAGGCAGAAAACATCATGGGGCAGTATGAGTCAGGAGGAGGCTGCATCACCAATATATCTGCAGCTGATACGGTTACACAAGAAATACCCACAATTTTCTGCAAGGCGGGAGGTAAAGGAGAGCTAATGCAATTTCTTTATTGAGTAAATGTGGCCTACCCAAAGCGACAGCTCATTGTGATTTACAGTTACAGTTTAGCCATGATACTGTCTAGTGTCAGGTATTGAAATGCAATACCTGGGAAAAGCGCTACCTGAAAGCAGTACCCTGCTCCTGGGTCACGGCTTCCTCAGGGCCTGGGACCAAGACCTCTTCTGTGCGAGCTCCCCTGTGCGTGGCCCTCACACCATGGCAAGTCCCAGAGCAGGGCTGCAGCTGCAGTGTGGCAATCCCTGCTGCTTCGGGGCTAGAGAAGTCCTAGTAAATGAACTTATTCTGTGCATCCAGCCTGCAATGGAGCAGGATCAGAGAGGCTCCTTTTGACTCAGCAGGTTTTGTTATCATATCAGATGAAGTAATTTCCAATTCCCCTTCAGAATCAATGTGTGTGTGCGTGTATTTAAATTAATGCTTTCCTAGGCAGAGTGATCTAGATGCTGGTCATGAATCTAACAGAAGCATTTGGTGTGCAAGAAATGGAAGACTGAGCCTTGCTTCGTAACTCTGACTTTTTAATTCAGTTTACTCTTTATGTTGGTTTTAAGACACAACATCAGCACAACTATGGCATGTCTGCAAAATCAGTTTTTTTCCCCCTTTCTGACTGAAAAGAGAGCAACAAATCCAAAAGCCACTAGACTAAATATATCTGCTGGGCATAATGAAAGAGATGAAAGGGGTTAGGTGACATGTAAGCAAGTCTTACTCAGAAATGTTTAAGAGCAACCAGTACCACATCCCTTCTTTGTGTCTTTCTGTCCATATCTCCAATTAGCCTCCCTCCTCCCAGCATTTGCTTTCCTATGGCACTGTAAGCTCCTCCTAAACTAGGATGGTGTGACCCACGCCTGTATCTCTGATGGTGTTGTAGGACTGCAGCTGTAGGACTCCATATTCCCCGAGCAGTTTAGCATAAGCAGCGGCCATCTGAAGTTACATGAAGTTACTCCTGCTGCAGTGACACTTCAACCAGTCTTAGAAACACTCACTCCTGACCCATGCCCAAGAGGCAGGGAAGTGTTATCTCATTACACACGAGGGGGCTGAGTCAAGGAGAGCCTCCAACTTCCGTAAGGCCACAGTGATTTTGTGGCACACACAAAAGGAGCACAAGACAAAAGGCACATTTTTGGTGCTTTGACTGCTAGCTTGATCACCACCTCCAGATGGACCAGAGATAGCTGTACGCAGAGAACGCTTGTGGAGAGGGAAAAAAAAAAGGCGATAGAGAGATTCTTTCATCTGTGAACAGGGGGGAAACTAAACTGCAGGTCCTAACACTTCACGGACAGCTGTGAGTCAGGAGAGCTTAGCCCGGCAGTGATACATTTGCTGCATCTCCCCCTTCATGGGGAGTGGCTCATCAGTGCTCGAGGCCAGCCCTTCCCAGGTTAACACTGACCGGGACAGGCTCTACCATCTCATCTGCCAGTGTTTCTGCCTTCGGGATAGCTGCTGATTCCCTAGAAGGGGGCAGAGAAGCGTTTCAGCTTAGCTGCAGTCTTCTGTAAGTGTCTTTTCTGTCAAGGGCTCTGACGTGCAGCCAGAATTGCATCAGAGCTTGCAGAAATACTTTTAAGCCAAAATAAATGTTGAAGCCTAACTTTTACAGCGATGCACCAACTTTGATGAAGGCTTTGTTGCTCAAGTTTTTATTTAAGGCAGAAACTATTTCTGGGAATGGCTTCATGAGCAGCTTAGGCTGACTAGGAACACCACTACTGCTGAAAAAGACAGCCTGGCCCTCCTCCTCAGCCATGACTTCTCATACGTGCTAAACAAGCAGTATTTTCCTCTTGGATCAGTGCGTTGACCTAGCAGAACGTGCCGCTGCACAGATCCCAGCCTAAGCCCAAAAGACATGACCACTGTGCTTGTGGCAGGGAGGCCAGGACTTCCCCTTTCAGTGGCAACATAGCTTCAGATCATTTAGGATACTTGTCGAGTTGCACCCTCAAATCTTACAGTATCGAGGCTCGAGTGCTGACTTGAGATATGGTACATCATAGTGGGAGCCTGATGCAGGGAATCTGCAATAAAACCTCTCCTGCATTAGGCTGAACAGGGATTCAGACCAGGTGGCATCCAATTCACCCATCCAGACATATACAAGCTCTGTTTTTCTTTCTCTCCGTTGCTGTGAAAATATTCTGGAATAGAATAAAGATAAAAAGAAGAAAAATCCCCAAATGCCAGAACCTGTTGCAAAAGGGTGACTGAGGCCCCATCAGCAGTCCTGGAAGTAGTTACAAACACTCACAAAATACCCTGCAAACAACAGACATCAGCCTTGGACAAACTTGCTGCTCAGTTGCCAGCAGTCTCCTGACCAAAAGGCATGGACTAAGGCTTTGAACTATGGCTATCAGCCAGAAGAGCACCTGCTCCTTGCTGTCTGCCCCAAACATATAGTTATTTCAGCTGCTGAATGCTTAGTTTTGTTTACTGTTTCCCACTGACTTCTACAGTGCTTAATTTTCCAAGGGAGCTTAGAGAAAACTAAACACAATGCTTACTAAAGAAAAAGGGAGTAATGCAAATTCCTCCTCTGGTAAAGATGTTTCTCTTGCAGTTGGCAAATCTGAACTATCTGTTCCAATCAATGTAAATCAAGCTCTGCCAGACCCTGATGTATGGGGCTCTGCAGCAATCCCTGCCAGGATATGGGCTGGATATAGAAAGAGGGTTTGATCTTATTTCTCAGGTACACTCAATTCTTGTTTACCAGAGCTGTGGCTGACCCAAGCCTTACCTCTCCTGATCCTCTGGCTGTGATGGCCACGTTGCAGTCGCACAGCAAGGAATGCAGAACGTTTGCCCCTGCCTCCTGCTGCCGTTTAAGGGCTCTGTTCGCTACAGAATGTGGTGTAGTAGTTTCTCGAAGGTGAATACCCTCAATATGTTTGCTATTCTGGCTATTTCAACCTCAGTTATTGTCTTCCCTTCCCCCGACTGCTTTATTTAAATAGGCTTCATATATATAGCGACAGGTAGCAGAGGTTAGGAGGAGCACCTCAGGCTTCCCAGATTTGAAACTGTCCCTAAAGACTGGTACCTCAGCGGACTGAAAGTTGGCAGGACTATTTTCAGCTATGGCTATTTTTGACATAGCCAAAGCCAGACAGCTTGTGAAATCAGTTCCTCTTGCAAGAACACCAACCTTTTTTGACCCTAGCTCTAATTTCAATTCCCAGTGTCTGAACACTGCACCTTTGACCAACAGCTACTAGTATTTACCAGCCTCAACCATTCAGCAAGGTAGAGAAGCCACTAATTTCACCCATTTCCTTTTTTTTTTCCACATTCCCATTCTACTTGCAGTGCCTGGGCCCCTTGCATATTATTGACAGAAATAGTCTGAGATAGCAGAGAATGCTGAATAAAATCTCTTGCCCTCACTTATTACTTGCACTGCAGTCCTCTTCTCTCCACCTGGGAGTCCAGGACAGCCCTTTGGCCATGTCAGTCTCTGCCAATCAGGAACAAAACAGAGCCACTGCTGGAAAACAGGAGAGAACAGGATGAGAACCTGAATCTGACTCTACTATTACATTGCAGCTATGGCTATAAATCCATTTTTACTGTAACGTTGATTTGGACAACATCCCTCACCTCATCAACAGTTCGGGCAGGAACAAGAGGAAGGACATCCTCACAATTAAGTGTGCGTCAGACAAAAACTAACTAAAAGCAGCTTAATAACCTAGTACCACACCCTCCTTGATGGACAACAGGGCACGTCAAGAAGTCACTATTGCAGGTAATGCTAATGGAGGCCTTGGCTGAGTTACAGAAATGTGCACCTCCAAAGTGCATCTCCGGCTGAGATTCGTAAATATTGAGAAGTGTCCTCAACCACTCTGTCCCCAGAGTCACAAATGATAAACAGATTTGCAAAGGAGATGCACATGTCTTCTGGTTACTCTGCTGTCTTAACAGCAGTCCAAAATACAAACTTTCCTGCTGGGCAAAGACAGGAAGCATGTAGCTACCAAGCAGAGAAGAGAGAAGTCAGGCTCTTGCCAAATGAAGCACAGTTTTCTCTGCAGGCAGGTTTGTACCATATTTAGTATGGAACTCTGGTAAGAGAACAAAATACGAATTTGACAAAACCTTTGACAAATCAGAAAGAGCTCTCGGAAATTGGCAGTTGTTTTGGAAACAGGCTTGAGAAAATGCAACAAGACAAACCATCTTCTCCATCACAAAATCCAGAAAAGATGATGGAAGAGTACAAAGGTATTTGGAGTACAAAGACATCTGGAGTGGGAACTACTGATATACATTTCGATATAGAACAGGTAGCAGAAATTATTTTTTTTCCAATTTTCAATGAATTTTAATAATTTCTGTAGTTTAGATTTAATCAAAACAATAAGCTGTTTCAGCAAAAGGGTTTTCTTACAGAGGCTTCTTATTACCAAATGGGCGTGTATTTGTCAGGATCTGCATATGACATCCCTCCTCGTGAAACTTGTAGCATTGCCATATCTCTTGTCAGACTGGGGTGACAGTCAGTGCTCTTGAACAACATTTCCAATGAGCAATTGGAGGCAGAACTTCTAATAGTCGTGTTTCAGAATACAATGCCACTTCCACAATAACTTCTAGACTCCATTACATTTCCTAGGCTCAAAACAGATACATGACTTCACTGGGTGGATTTTTAACTGGAAGTTTCAGAAGGACAATAGAAACACCTTGTTGTTGGAACTGAAATGGCCTTACAGCCATTTTGATTTCAGCCACAGACGTCTGACCTTACAACTTTACAGCTTCTAAAAACGATCAGCAGCACAGTTCGCACACTTCACTTTTTGCAGTTCATCTCAGCTGGATAAACACATGGAATTGCATGCAGAAAACAGGAGTAGAAGGACAGATAGGCAGAGAAACTTAAGCCCTTGAATAAGGCCTGAGACCAGATCTGCAGTTCAGCTCTCCTAAGCTACTGCTACAAACTGAAGTCTTCACTTCAGCTTATGCAAAATCTGACTCTGGGCCTGGTGGAAATTAACAGTGGGGTTGAAGTGGTAAAAGCAGTCTCTGTAGGCTTTATGAACTGTAGAATGAACTCCATACTTCACACTTACTGAGCATGCATAGATCAGCAAGTCTCTAAAAAGTGGTTAGGACAGCTAGTCTTCATTCACATTCATCTCCAATGCAGAGGCATGCAGAAGTCATGACCCTGCTGTCTTAGTTACTAGTGGCGTAACAAGGAGTTGTGACCCCAGATTGATGGTGCATTGAAGGAACTTCTTGTATCAAATTTTGAAGCCCGTTATTCTAATAGCAGAAATGATTTGCTTATTATTTCTCTTACCATTCAAAGCAACAGTTGGAGGCAGTGTCCGTTAGTAGCTTCTACGAATAGAGAATTGCTACAAAGGTTATGCTTCTCCTTTAGGGAAAACTTTTCTGTCAGATTTCACTGAAGCCACATCCTAGAGACAACAAACTAGAAATGGAGATGATAAACATCACTGAAAACAAGTGAGTCCCAGCACTTCTTGCATGGAAATCAGCTTCACCTCTTGGAATAAAAAAAGTGCTGCCAGATGAACATGTGATCAAAGCAGGCATGTTCCCATTATTGCTCACTGCAGTGAAGCTCAGCTTCATGCAGGCGCACGTGAACGTCAAATCTGAGTTTCAGAGACAAACTCATGTATTGCAAAACCTATTCCAGAGCTCACTGGTGGATTGTGGAAGATGCTTTAAATCAATCATACTATAAAGAAAAGCATAAAAGTTATCACTCTTTTCTGTTTTATAGATATGAGGGCAAAATTGTAACACTATTTTGTATTTGCTACTAATGCCACAGGAAATCCAAAGAGCTCATATTCATACTGCACAACTGAACTGTGCTGGAGTCGGGAGCATGGCTTGACTAATAGCACGGAGAGTCTCTATGACCATAATAAAAACTGTGCATTTAGCAGGCTGTCTACAGCCCCAGGCACTTCCATTTGTTTTGACCTGTGCTGCTCTTATGTGCATCACCTGACTCACCCAATGCATTTTGGGTTCATGATGAAGCACTCTTT